GGGATAACGAGGCACCATTTGGCAGAAAATATGAAGCTTTATGGGCCTTCCATCTGTGATGCAAACCATCAAAGCACAGGTTCATCCCTCGGTGACCAGATTTAATTGAAAATTTAAGATCCAATCAAGTCACCCAGAATTGAGATTTTTGACAGCTTATGAGCTTTGCTATGAGATTCCCACTGCTCTTCCTTCTCTGCCAATCTACAAGTGAAGCCACGGGTTCCAACAGCATCCTGACCAGCACCAAGCTTTCTGCAAGGGACACACAATGCTATGATTATGCTGGTCCCAATTTTTTAAAAAGCGCACATGGGCCTTCCTGGCTAAGACACCAGGTGGACCAGGGCCAATACCCTCTCTCTCACTGGTATCTGCCTGAGTTAGAAGAGCATCTTCTCCATGAAAGTTTACCACATTAAGTGCCATTTTAAAGTCTCCTATGGAAGATTATGCTAAAACTTTATGGAAGAAGTAAATTCTTATGCCCTTTTACATGACAACACGAGTTTCTACCAAGAACATTCTAACCGATGTTAGTATCTATTTGTCTCACAATTTAAAAGAGGTTTGATGCCCAAGAACTCTATCCCTGACACTGGCTGACACTGCATCTTTGGGCAAGTTACTTAACCTCTCTGAACATCTGCTTCCTCATCTGCAAGAAGGACTGAATATTCCCAGACAACTCGCTAAGTTACTACAAGGATAAAAACGAAGCGAGAAACCCACACAAAGATGAATATTCATAGAAACATAATTGATAATGGTTAAAAACTAGAAACCACCTCTGTGTTTATCACAGACAAGTGGAAAAGCAAACTGGTCCATCCATACCATGGAACACTATTCAGCAATGCAATAAGGATGGGCACAAACAACATAAATAAGTCCAAAATGAGCAAGCTGAATGAAAAAGGCTAGACCAAAAACAGTACAAAGTGGGATATAAAAAAATACGGTGTATATTTAAATTTTTAAGAATTCATTACAGTAAAAGACACACTGTCATTGATCCTCCTCAAAATAATCCCTTCCTTCAAACACAATTATCCCATCATGCTTGCCACTACCTGACACAGTTTGGGCGTCCTCTTTCACGAGTGTCTTCAGTTGCACTGTCACGGCCCCTCAGTGTCTGGAATCAGTTGCAATATTGACCTTTCACAGCCATTTTGACTTTGGAGAAGAACCAGAAGTCTGGTGGTGCAGATCCAGTGAAGAAGGAAGATGAAGAACACACCACTGTTTTCATGAGCCTGCCTTTCTGTCGGATGGCATTCAGCAGCAGCAGGACTTTTTAAAAATCACATTTCATAAGGATCCTTATGAAACAGAACTTCCAAAACTGCTTCAGAAAATGACAAGAATGATGGGATAAATTCTTTCAAAATAAGGGAAGTATTCTGTGGGAGACTGATGGCAATGTGTCTTTTATTGTAATAAATTTTTAAAAATGTAAACATTCACTGTATCTCTGGTCACCTTCTACATGTACTTTGCCATTCCATTTATTTAAAATTTTAGGCAATAAAATCAGTGACAGAAGGTAAATCAATAATTGGCTGGGGATGGAGGGTTGGAAAAAAGAAGGATGAGCAAGGGGCATGAGGAACTTTAGAGCAATGGACATGTGTGCATCTCAACACAGTGATGGTTCTACGGGTTTCAACACATTAAATGCATGCAGTGGAATCCAAGGACACTGTGTTCTCCTTTGATGAAGCTGAAGAAACAGGAAAAACTGATACTGGGAATATAATGTCTTATCACCGGAGTGGCACATAGAAGGCACTCAACAAACCTTAACTCCATGCATGCTGGAGAATAGTGAATGAGCCTGTCAGAAAAGCTGACAATGCTGTCAAGGCAATTAACCTGAATGTGTTACATGGGCACCCACATTGACATTCACTGGGACCCAAGAAGTAAGGACAGGCTCTTCTCAGCAGCAAGCACAAGCAAAGAAGATGAAGAAAGTGACAAATAGGGCTCAGTCTTTGCCCAGAAGGAAACACAGATAGGTTTAAGATGTGATGCAGTAAGAGTGTCAGTGGAGATGGTGTTGACAACTTACAGAAGATAAAAGTTCTTGTTGACCACCACCCATCAGAGTGGACGAGTGGGACCCAGCAAGCACTGAGGGGTGAGGGCTGGTGAGGAAGGGAAGAAGCTGGAAAAGGAGCCACAGCACATCATCCCCCAGAGGACTGGTGGGAGACAGTCCACAAAGGACAAGGCCAAGTTAAAGACTGGAACACTAGCTTGAAGCTCAAGTTCCTTTGTCCTGGAGAACCTGCCAAAGAGTTGAGCATGATCAGATGTGTCTTAGACAAACAGATCCTACCATATCTAGAGGGTGATTTAGCAATTTATCAAGAAGCCTGACATTCACATTGCTCAACGTGGCAATTCCTGAGGAAATCATCAGAAATGTACATAAGAATTTATGTACAACATTGCTTATCACAACATTATTTATAATAGCTCAGAGCCCAAAATAACTTTAATGTTCAATAAAAGGGGACTAGAGTAAATAAATTACAGTGTGCTGAGTGATTAAAGCACATGTAGCCATTAAATTATACTTTCAAAATATGACGGGCTGCATGCCTCACTCCACAATGTTAAGTTGCAAAAAAAGCAGGATGCAGAAATATATGTTGAGCATTCATCTGACAAACATTTATTGATTATATTTTAAGGGCCAGAGTACAGTGTAAAATAAAACAGACACAACCCTTGTCCCCATGGGAAGAGATTCTACTATTTAATGAAGGAAGACAAAAAGCAAAAAAAGGAACAAATGTCAATAAGCAAAATACATAGCTCCTTAGACTCTTTAAGAAGTGCTACAGAGAAAATCAAGAGAGGAGAATGATGGAGAGTTGTGGAGAAGGTCAAAATTTCAAACAGGTGCTCAGGAAAAGCTTCAAAGAGCAGGGTTAAAATGAGGCAAGGAGGTCTCTGGGGAGGCCTTCCAGGCAGAGAAATGGGCAATCCAAAAGCCCAAAGGGTGTGGGGGTAGCGGGTGGGGACACCCAGAAAGAGCATGGTCAAGGCAGCAGAATATGAAAGAAAACAGGTAGAGGCCAAAGCGAAGCTGGTACCCCTCTGCAGAAGTGGTTGGAGCCCAGAAGGGCTTAAAGCCAAGGAGCTATAACTCAAAGAAAAAGGGTAGGAGCAGGAAGCCAGGAGGGATTTCCCAGGGGCTTCTCCAGGTTCTTATAATAGGTGGGTGTTCAGTTTATAGTCACAAAACAAATGATAATGCAATCAAAGACAGCACAATGCAGAGAAGCCATGTAGTTGCTGCCACAAGAACCCAGGAAAACAAACAAGGCTAGCGAGACGATTCTAATGATGAAGGATGAAACTCTAGGAAACAGAATGGCACATGTTGAGGTATCTAAATAACAAGTTACTTTAATAATGAAACATAACCAAGATGCAAAAACTATGCAAAGGAGAGACAAAAAAAAAAAAGAAAAAGAATTCCCTTGTAATCTTAGGATTTAACATTATGGAATATTTTCTTCCAATCTTTTTTCCTAGACGTGCTTTTATTCTTCCCTTCATCATTCTCCAATACCCAGCACATTCTGGGCATGCAAACAGTCACTGATCAAATAAATGGCAGGCCAAATGCTCCAAACCTCTTCATGTTACACTAGCTACATGAGATGCATTTTCAGACACAGTCTGCATAGGCTGAGATGAAAGAACTACTGTAGTAGCCATGGATAAACAGGGCTACAGATGACTGAGGTGTCAGATCTGGCTGTGTGAGGATGGTAGTGACCTTTAAAGGGAACTAGAAAGGAGCAACTGGGCGAGGAAGACAGTGTATTTCGTTTGAGTGACCTGAGCGTATGTCCTTGCAGGGATGCCTAGTGTCCATCTGTCTTGGGGCTCAGGAAGCGCTGAAGCTTCTGCATAGGAATGATGGCAGCAGGAAGATAAAAAAGAGAAGAGAAAGAGGAACGCAGGAGAAGGGGAGGAGGAATACTAGAAGGCCCTGCTCTTTGCCAGACTGTGCAGAGGGCTCCACACACGTTAGATCTTCCAGTCTTCACAATCACCTAGAAGGTAGACACTCACATGCTCATTTTACAGATGAGGACACTGCATGACCGAGAGGCTCAGCGACTTACCCAAAGCAGAGCCAGGACTCAAATCTGTAACTATGAGGATGCTTCCCACTCATTCTCCTCATGTTCAGAGAAGCTTAAAACATACCCAGAAGCCCACGGAGAAAGTGGCTTAAAATGCCTTAATATGCCCAGTTTTTGCTCTTAACTTCCAAAAAACCAAAAAGAAGAGTGTGCTCTTTCTCTTCCAAATATATATTTTATATGTTACCCAATTTTTATTTATAAGCCATTGGGCTCTCGTTTTCATGAATTTGAGTCTTCTCTCTACCATGAGGTTAAGGAGCTCCCAGAAGTCAGGATATGCATCAGCCTGACTGCACACAGCAGAAGCTCTGCACGCACTCTAGGAAGTTAACCTTGACTACCACTTGAGAGTCACCCCCTGGCCCATTTCCTGATTTCTCAGGCTCTGGACACTGGGCCATGGTTGGTGACCCTGACTCCCTCTGGCTCAAACACAGCAAAGCCAAACCCAGACAGATAAGAGAATGACAGTGGGCAGGTGATCCTGGGCAGATGGGCAGACTAATACAATGAGATAAAGCAAATCTTGTTTTCCATGGGAGTTGCTACCAGAGCCTGCAGACTGTGAGCCCACAGGCTATATTCAGTCTACTCGCATATATGCTCTGGCTTTAATATGTTATGATTTTAATTAGTTGCTGTCTTTCAAAAAGTGAGAAGTTTCATATGCAAATCTGGAATCTATAAGCTGTCTCGTAGGCAACCCACCCTCTCCAGTTCTTCACAGCCTCTCCACTCATCCCGATAGGGACAGGGCTACATGGCAGAGTGGCCTGAGCACTGGGTCACCAGGAAAGCCAAAGCTGGCTGGCATGTACTCACCGGCACTCAGCGTCGTGAACTCCAGAAAGCGGTACTCGTAGGCCACATCTACCTTAGTTTCTACCTGAGGCCTCTTCAAAGTTGAGTAAATATTCCCAGGTCGTTTCTCTTCACGTCTCTCCAACTTGTTCAATCCACAACCCATTTCAGCAGCTGTCCATAAAATGAAAACAAAATGGGGTCAAGGGTATAAATTGTTTTTCAGAGATTTATTCTTAAGCACTGCAGTAGACAAGATCATCTAATCCTCCTGAAGAAGTCCACAGGAAATCCTCCTCAGCCCATAGGAAATCAACAGTATAATGTAATATAGATCCTGAATACAGAGGACTATATTCAGGACCCAAGCTGCTGTCTCCTTCAGTTAGGTCATCATTACCTGCCATCCTGTGGTTTTAAATGACAACAAAACAATACCTGTTTATGTCTTTTTTCTCCATCTGAAGAAAACAATACCTCAGAGTGCATTGGTGCCACTATAATCCATATAAATGATTTTAAAATGGAACTAAAAAGCAATATGCTGCATTATGGTATCAGCTGGTCTGTTAGAAAAACAAGAGATGTATCACTTTCCCAATGGTAGCTGAGAGAATAAGTTATTGTTACAATTCTTAGACTCTAGAGCCCTCTCTACCCTCAATGCTAATTAATTTAGACAAGAGTTTATAATCATAAAATATCTCTAAAGAATGGATGGCAGTATTTTTATAGGTTTTGTCTCAAAGTCCTTCTTCTTCTTTTTTAGACTGATCTGTGAGAAACAACAGTATGCTTCTACGCTCTCAGCATCATTTCAGACCGAAATGAAAACTGACTGAGCTCTAATAGCAGGGCCAGAAAGACTGGGAGCAGAAATTCATGTGTATTAGAGCACGGATCTGCAGCTTCTGCCTGAAAAGAAGATGGAGAAACATTAAAATCATGTGCATGCAGCGGGGGCTGAGCTGCCACTCACTCTCTGGGGGGATTCAAATCAACACGAGTTCTCTGTTCATTTAGGCAGGCTGACACTCATGAGATGATATTTTATCCACTCCCCTAGACTTGAGTGGAAGGTGTTTTCCTGTCATGTACTGACTACAAGACTTCCCTCCTCGCTGGGCTCCAGTGCCGATGCCTTCAGTCTAGTTCACGAAAATATTAACTGGCCATGACTATCACACAGAGAAACAGTGACTGCTTCTTTTTGGAGGAAAGAATTTCCTTCTGCTCAATTCATTCACAAGATACTCAGTTTCCTAAGGCAATTTGGCATACTCCAAAAAACAAACTGAATCTCAAAAAAGCCATGAGGGTGTAGGGTGGGGATAGTGGGAGGGGTTGGGAGCTGTAGTGAAAACCAGGCTCTACTTTTCAGTAATTAAAAAAGGAGTCTGGAAGAATGGATGAGAACAGGAAGGCTTACTTGTGCCTTAATAAAGGAACATTAGTGTCCAAAGGCCTGAACAGACATGATTTATGTGCAGTCTGCCTGGACTGATTACTTGCAAAATACTCCGTAGTTCTGCAGATGTAAATAGCTCATGTTCAGAGGCTGTAGACTTAACTGCTGAAGAGCAAGCCAACTGGCGTCTGCCAGGGCAAGGCAGACAGGAAATGAACGAAGAGGCTCCTGAGTGCTGGGAACAGGTGGCCTGATGAGATGGTACCACTGTCACGAGAACAAGATTATTAAGAAGCCAAAATCTCACCACAGTGCTCATTCATGCAGATTTCCTGCATGTCTGCTTTGGGAAAGTCCCCTCAGGGATTCAGATAGTGTGGTCTTTGCCCTCAAGGAGTTTAGCCTATTGAGAAAGGAAGGACACTTAAATTATAACACAAGACAAGAAAGGCGGAAACCCAGAGAGGGTGCTTCAGACAGGTTTTGCTGCACAAATTTGGACTGTGACTATGAAGAGATACAGCCAGGGTCCATCAAGAACAACAGGGTGGAGGCAGGAAAGTCTGCATGGGGGTTTGGGAAGGCAAGGTAGACAGCCTGGAGACAAGGGTGTCAGTGAGTCAGGGCCACCACCATTCACCCGTGTGGTGTCTTCCTGAGAATGATACAGGAGGCTGGTGGTGCCCTTTCTCCCAAGGAATGCAGTCTTGTTGTACACATGACCTACAGAGTAGAGCAAGGACTACATTTAAGATCCTGCTCATTCCCTTGGGAGCAACCTGTGACAGTGCTGTGTCACCAGGGGAAAAGTTAAGCGAAGCACATTTCAAAATGGAGCAGGACTAGCTAGTCATATAAAGAAACATGGAGGTAGAACAAAATTTTCTTAAGTATTACACAAAAGCTCCATCCATATGAAGAAAATCCTGATGAAAGTAGCGTAGGTTAAGATTTAAAATGCCTGTTTCTCAAAACATACTTTAAAGAGTAAAAAAGGCAATTGAGAACCTGAATAGTACAATGCATTAACCTAGTCTGAACCAGTCAACCAGTTCTCCAAAAAAAGGGAAATCTTTGATGTGTAATGTTAGCTGCGTTCTGTGGTGTGAACACTACCCCATGCAGACTTCAAACCTCATATGTGATGTCATGGAGCTGAGTTGGGAAGAAATGCCACGCTCAGTTCTCACAAGCCAGTGAATTAGCTCCTGGCACCACTGTATTCACTCACCAGCACAACTGTATCCACAGTTAAAGGAGTACTACAAACAAGTTAAGGAAAAGACAGAACACCCAAAAGCAAATCTGTGGAACTCCTGAACATGCATGCCACACTGAGGACATTTTGCACGGATGACCACAGAACAGATGAAAAGCAGCTCGACCTCCCTGCTCATAGGGAAGTGAAAGGAAGATCACAAGGAAGTGTAACATATATCTCTAGCAGAGTTTAAATGTTTTTAAAGGTGATAGTACACAGCAAGCATCCCCAATCCAAAATTCCAAAATTCTAAATGCTTCAAAATGCAAAATGTTTGAGAGACAAGACTCAGAAACCAGCTTTCACAATATTTCAGAATTCCAATTTTCAGACAAGGGACATTCAGCTCGTAAAGTCTAAGCAAACATTGCAGGATCCAAAAAGCTCCAAAATCTGAAAAGCTCCAAAACTGGAAACACTTCTGGTCTCACGCACTTCAGATATGAGCTACTCCACCTGCACCAGTGTTGGTGAGGATGAATCAAATGGATTTCCTGACCCTGATCGTGACAGCGCAGCATTATAAAACCAACCTGGAAAACTGGCAAGGTGTCGGGAAGCCAAATACTGTATTACTGTATCCTGTGACCTCTAAACTTCCTCTCCTAGGTATAGCATATGCCAACAAAAATGTGTCATGAGTACACACAGGAAGGCTCACAGGAGACAGGGGTGGTGGCACACATCTGCAATACCAGCACTCTGGGCTAAGGCAGGAGGATTGTGAGTTCAAGCACAGTCTACGCAATATAGTGACTTAGCAAGGCCCTGTCTCAAAATAAAAATAAAAAAGGCTGGCTGGAATGTAGCTCAGTGAAAAGGCCCTGAATTCAAGCTCCTTTACAAAGAAGAAAAGGAAAGAAAGGAAAAGAAGAAAAAGAAAAAGAAAGCAAGCAAGCAAGCTCACAGTATTACTCTTCTTAAAAGCCTGGTGCTCAAATCTCCCCATATAAATACTTTACGGTAGAACAGATAGTGTGCAGTGTTCATACAGCAAAATAACAGGAAGCAAGGAAAATCCAGAAACTAAGAGCACGCATAACAACATGAGCGAACACCCAAACTCAGGAGTTGGCATTCATTCACATTGTTATGAGTGCTCTCAGCAGATACTTTTTAAATTCCATTATGTAGAGTTCCAAAACAGAAAAATACACCCTGGTGTTAGAAGCCTGGAGGTCAGGAACCGCATGGGAGGATGAGGGGCTTCCAGGGTCCTGATCATGCTGTTCCTTGCCCTGGGTACAGGTGACACATGTGTTTGGTTTGTGACAATCACTGAGCCATCCAGCAGACTGTGTACTAATTCATGTACTTTCCCGAGCTCAAATCTCACTAAAATATTCAAAAATGCTAATATGTGGTCATACAGCTGTACAAAAATATTCCTAAAGATAAAGTTAGGTTGGAATAAAAGCAAAACACAAAATTTACATACTGAGTTTCAATTCTAAATTAAAAACTGAAAGCACTGTTTACAGCAGGCATGCTTATCCACTGTTAGCTTCTTCACTAAAGTGCCTGCAGGTACATCAGAGTCCAGACAGAATGGTTTTCTGCATCGAGGCTGAAGCACCCTCATCCTGGGCCCGACATGGGACATAATGGCACAAGCTTAAGGGGTACAGGTTGACAAGCCAGGGAAGCAGTCAGGCCGAGCCCTGGAAGGCTGGCCACTGAAGAACTAAGCAGAAACCTCTTCCTCAAACAATCCTCCCATTTTTACTACTCTGTTATGTAAATTCCAGCATTACTGATTTATTCTGTTGAAGTAAGAATTTCCCTTCAAAACTGCAAGTATCTTCAGGGAAAGGGTAATGATTAGATTCTTGATAGCCACTAACATTTTAGTGTGATTTAATTCTGCCTATAATCTTCTGGTTATTTTTTAAATTTTAATTTAATTTCCTTCGTGAAGGATAAGTCACCTGAAACCAGAAAGGAAATGGTTATCAGGATGAGTAAGACACATTCAGAAAGAGTTGAGGATAGATGGGGGCAGGTCCAAAGAAGCATCCGCAAGATTTCCAATTCACAACTTTGAGTTTAGGGTCTCAAACAGACTGCTCTAAACTTGAAGTCTCTGTGCAAGTTCACCCAAAGGGTATGTACTTGATGTCAGAAGACATAAAGAGGTTCTGGGAAAATCATCTATATGGTCAGACAGAAAAAAGTTAACAGTACTAGCCAGAAGAACACCTAAATCTTTGGGTCTCGAATTTCAGAGATTCATTTCTTTGGAGTATGTGCAACCTTGTTTAGGCAACTGCTTTGTAAAAAGCATAGTGTTCTCTGGGAAGAGAGACACACAAGGCACTTGCTGGCCACCTTCACTCCATCAATATAGAAGAGAGATTTATGTCATTTCCAAAAAAATCCATGACAGTCAGAACATCTAGATTACAAAAAATGAAGAAAGTTAAGATACAACAGTACTTTATATCGTAAGCTTGACCATTACTATGCCAACACCCAATTCCATGCTCACAATAGAATCCTGCAAGG